TCCTCCTCCTCCCAAAGCAAACAAGTGAGTCTCCATCCCCAGGAATGGGGCATTTGAAGGAATAGCATCTGCCTTCCCTCCCTGCCCCCACCCCCAGTACCTTGCAAAGCCAGCCATATGCCAATAGCTTTTCTGGATTTGAAAGACTCATTTCAATTATGTTAATTTTTAAAAACTGTGATAATGGCATTGTGGTTCTACTTAAACAACAATAACAAAAAAAAATGAGTACTTATCTCTCAGAGATACACAGGAAAGTATTTACAGATAAAATCATGTCTGGCATTGCCTTTAGATTAATCCAGCAGAGAAGGAGGGCCTGACAGATCAAACAAGATTGGTCTCACTTTGCATATGCTGATCACCACTAAAGCTGGGGAAGACACATGGGATCGCCACACGCCAGCCACTCTACTTTTGTCTACATTTAGTTTCTGTTGTTTTTATTTTTAATGAAAGTACACACACACACACACACACACACACACACACACCTCACTACTGAATCACAGAGCAGAAAAGCAGCTCCTAAAAGACCCTTGGGGTCCTGAGGTCTTTGTACCAAAAAATTCCGGGCATGGTCCCTTTTTAGCACTTAAGTGGACACTCCCAGCCCACCCAACCCAGAAGCCAGGCAGCTAGAGAGGAACCAGGAAGCCTTGGGTGCGAATCCTGGTACTGCCCCTAGATAGCTGCCAGCTAAGCCTTTTATTTCTCCTCTGTCAAGTGCCGATGACACCTACCTCTCAAGGTCAGACCATGCGACTGCTTAGAGATGAGTTATGCAAAATACTCAGCATGAGCCTGGTGCATAGCAAGCCCTGGAGAAATGTCTGTGGCATCATTGCTATAATGCCATTACTCTCAGGGGTCAGCTCTCAGTTACAGTGCGCCCGGTGCACTGCTGTGGGTACCTGGAGCAACGGAGGAGAAGGCAGCTTCTCCGTTTCTACTCTGCAGTCCTGGTGGCATCTGAGAAGATACTCGCGTCCCTCCCAGCTTCCAGACCCCACCCCTCCAGGTCATTCTCCTCTGGACACACCACAGGGACTCTTAGGATCTAAGTGGCATTCCTAGAAGGAGCAGCTGTGTGCCAAGAACAGGTGTCCACCCTGGTTGTACCCTGAAAGGCCACCCAAGGGCATCATTTGTCATGAGTTCCCCAAAGGCCAGATGGGAAGCCAGGTGCCCACAGGTGACTCACAAAGAATGTCGGAAAGGCCACAGATCTTGTCACTGGGAGAGGGAGGAGGTGGTGTGGGGCGCTGTCTGGTCCAGCTGCCCTGGATCCCTCCTCCCGCCCCAGCGGGGGCTTCCTTTCCAGGGGGAGTCTCCAGAGAGGTCTCTCCCGGCTTGGCTGGGTTTTTCTCCCGATCTGAATGCAATCAGGGATGTGGCTGCTCTCATCCCATCACTCCAGCCGCGGGAGGATCATCACGCCGAATCTTGAGCCTGTCATCCGTGGCATTAGCTGTCCCTGACAGCTCCGTGTCAGCTGCATGTCTGATGAGCACATCTTCCGAGTCTTCCGCCAATTTACAGATAGAAATGTTGAACGGCAGAGAGTCCGGGGCAAGGCCGTGGGGACACTGCTGGAGACCCTCCTCCCAGCCTGATGGTAATCCTGGATCAACACTTTGGGGGAATAAATCAATCCAATACTATCATCCCCGCTCCACTCCTCCATGAGAAGAGCCTTTATCAAGAAGCCCGCTGCAATCAAGATTTGCCAGAGAGTTAGAAGTCCCTAGTCTCAGTGCCTCCCCAACCTTGCGCCCTCCACACCCAAGAAAATAAGATTTGCTTGTTCTTATTTGTTCTGGAAAACTGCATGCCCCACAGAGTGGGGACATTCTCAGAACACAGATCAAACCATTCCCCTGCTTAAAACCCTCCTGTGGGTTCTCATTACACACAGGATAAAATTCACCCTCCTTTCTGATCTCTAGGACACTACTCAGACTGGCCCCATCTCCCCCTTCTTCCAGCCACATGGATCTTTTATCTCTTCTCTTGAAATGCCAGGTTCAATCCAGCCCCAGGGACTTTGCACTTCTTTTGGTATGCCCCACCCCCAGTTCTCCCTGAACTGGCTCCTCCTCTTCCTTATTCAGGCCTGGGTTCCAGCGTCCTGTTCTCAAAGTGGCCTTTCCTACCCATTTGTTAAAAAGCCCTTCCACCACTTACTAGGCACTCGCTAGGCATCAACTTGCTTATTTTCTCCACAGAGTCTATCACTGTCATATAGTATTATTTTTACATCTTCACTCCCCATAATTAAATGCATTCTTCAAAGGCAGGGCCTCTATCTTGTTCAAGATGGGGGCCTCTGAGCCTAGAACAGAGCCTGACACAAAACTCCGGCTCCATAAGTACTTTTGAGTGATCGAATGAATGAACAGGCTCACTTACATTTACCCTTGCTGGCCCCTCAGAGCTCTTTAATTCCCTGGTGCACACACCTGTTCCTTTCTCAGGCCAGAGGGCCCCAGCTTTCTCTACTGGTTTAGTTTTGGATCCTTTTTCTGCCCTTCTATCCCCTGTTCCACCTCTGGCCTGGCATCCCATGAGCTGATCAGATGACCCTGCTTGGCCCTCCCAACCTTTGCAAAAGCAGTCCCCTGTGCAACTGGCAGAGACTCAGAGCGATCACTTGGGGGCTCACAGGACCATTTTGCACACCGTGCATGACTTTGCTGAGTTTGATGTTAAACCTTCATTTTCTGAAATCTATCTTTAAAAAGGTTTTATTTTTTGTTCCTGAGAAGTTTTGCTGGTCCTGGCACCTCTCCTGTGCTGTTTGCTTTCTCCTTCAGATTGGTTAAAAAGAAAAAAAAATCTATCAGACTCTATCCAGTGAATCATTCAGGGAGGGCAATCCAGCTCCTGGGCTCTTGACAAAGGAAGCTAGTTAGAATCTGTGCCGGGGCTCCAGGGCTTCAGCTCCACGCTGCCACCTCTGCTTCGCCCACCTCCAGAAATGATAGGTGTCTGATCATGGCTCTGTACTCAAATGCTGTGCATTATTCCTGCATTTGCAGTGTGCAGAGTTGTATAAAAATAAAGGCTATTGACTGGCTGGCACCCCTTCCCAGAATAATGACTAAGCAAGCATGCTGTTAGCTCCCTCAGCAACAGTTCTGTGTACATGATAACACAGAGCAAAGACGAAAACTGCTATTCATCCGAGCCAAACAACAGAAAATGCAAGCAGAAAATTGTCAGTGCTGGAGGAGACACCAAAACAAATATTTTCTTCCAGCTATGGCATTTTAGACCCACGACACATACAGTCCCCAG